AAAAAGACACTAGGGGGATGGTACGACCAAATATGGGATGCAATTACAAACTTAGTTGTGCCTTTTCCTCTCAAGTTGTACAAACATGGATGAAAAATATCATTAGCCTTCATCGTCCAAAATCTCAAGAAATAATCGATGTTGTCATTAGCTTTCATCAATCTATATATAGATCTCAGGAAATAATCGATGCTTTCATTAGCTTTCATCAACCTATAAAAAAAAATTAAAAATAAAAACGTAAGAACAAAAGAACTGTATTCTCCGTGTGCAGAACAGAGAAATTATATAGTACAGAAGAGAGAGACGTAGTTGATAGGAAGTTACCATGTAAATAGGAATGAGAAGTTACCATATAAATAGGAAATCAACTTTTTAGGCATATATGCAAATAAATATAACAATTTTAGTTAAATTTGTAAATAATTATATAGGGAATGTAATTATGTAATATTTTTAAATTGTTTACGTGGAGCATGAAAATTTCTCAAATGGGGAAATTAAGAGGCCAATTACGGGTTAATTTGATCCGTGGGCACTGCCCTACAGTGTTTTGACAGCCGATTATGTAGAATAATAAGAAGGGTGTAAAACCAATAAAAATAAAATCGGTTAAGGTTATCCAATGGTTAGATACACATACTCTTTCGAAAAATACAGAAACTTTTATGTTCAAATGTTATACTTTAAAATACAATAGAGAAGAAAGTATGATACTTTATAGTGTAAGTGGTCTCGTGTAAACGAGTCGAGCCAAGCCGAGCTCGAGCTCATGTTGCTCGAGCCCTCAACTAACCGAGCTTGGCTCGGCTCGTTAACTTAACGAGTTCATAATCGAGCTCGAGCTCGGCTAGTTTATCAATATTAACGAGTTGAGCCCGAGCCTTAACGAACGAAAATCATGCTTCAACGAGTTAAACTATAAAAAATTACATAAAATAATATTTTCGAGCCTTATCGAGCCGAACCCACGAGCGACTCGTTTAATTTAACAACTACCGACCAAAACTACTTATTGCATTTTGAGGGAGATTGGCTAAAGAGGTTAGTTACCAACCTCATTATGTATATCATGCAATTTAAATATTCGTTGACTGAGACACGTATCTTTTTCTGGTTGGTCTCACAATTTTGATGACAACAAGGGGTGAGTATAAATATTTGGAGTGTTGTATGGTGTGTGATGATATGTATAATGTATTAATAAGAGAACAATATAGCAAAAGATATAAGATTCCCTTTCCACTCCCACTCATCACTTCTATCTCCTCTTATACTGATATACTCTGCTGCCCAATTATTATTTTCCTTTTTCCCTGCAAGATCTTCATTAATTCCATTCATATGTAGAATAACTACAAACCCATTAAATTATTTCAACTTGTAATTTATCTCCACAAATTTTACTCATAAGTATTACATAAACCAAGCAAATTCATTCATGGCTTCCTCCTTGTGCACCATTTTCTTAAGGGCCTTTTTCCTCCTCCACATTCTCCATGCCAAAGGTATTCCTTTTTCTCTACACTCCATTTTTTTTTATGTTCTCCATTTTTTTCTCTTCTCTTGTGGGTGTAGAAAGACACTTATTTTATACTAGTATGACACAAATTTTGTTGTCCCTAGTTAATGAACCTTAAAACTTTCATAGAAACTGAATTTTTTGGACCAAATGATAGCAAGAGTTTCATATTATTCTCCTAAAGATCAACTTCCCCTGGGAAATTTGACATCAAAAAGATGAATGCTCTGTTTGATGTCAACTTCTTACTATTGTATTATTCTAATTTTCTAAATTTCACATAACTTTCTCTCCTTACTCTTCTTTCCTAACTGAATTTTTCAAACTGCATTCCCACCAATTAATTATTATCCACCTGATTTCATTTTCATTTTATTTTATTTTTCTTTCCGATTGACGGAGCAGGATTTATCCGGTGCGCCACATTCACATTCATCAACAAATGCCCGGAGACCGTCTGGCCCGCGGCCCTCGGCAGCCCGACTCTCGACACCACCGGCTTTGAGCTCCCACCGGGCCGCTCGCGGGCCCTCCGGGCCCAACCCGGCTGGTCGGGCCGCTTCTGGGCCCGAACCGCCTGCAACTTCGACCCGTCCANGATGTGCCCGCCGGAGCTGAGGGACAGCGGCGGCGGGGCGTGCCGGAGCGCGTGCGGGGCGTTCGGGACGGAGGAGTACTGTTGTAGCGGGACCCACGGGTCGCCGGACACGTGCGGGCCGTCCGAGTACTCGAGGGTGTTCAAGAGCGCGTGCCCCGAGGCTTATAGTTATGCGTACGACGACGCCACGAGCACCTTCACGTGCTCGGGCGCAGATTACGTCATCACGTTTTGCCCTGCGCCTTCGAGGTTTGGGTTAGATGGATTTTTACTTGTTTTGTGAATGAGCTGAGCTCGACTCGACTCGTGAGCTGGATCGAAAATCAAGAACTTTTGGGTGATTTCGATTTGGGGAAAATTCACAAATATACACTTTTCAACATCTTTTATCTAAAAAACAAATCAGATTTTGTCCATAGCTTTTCAACTCATTGTAAGAATCATACCACAGTGACATAAAGAATGACATAAAATTTGACATAATAACACGTATCACGATTATGATATTTTATACATTGCATCACTTTTAATTATTAAACATATACATCATTTTGGGCTATCCTTTATGTCAACTAATTATGTCAAACTGATTTTATTCTTATTATCATCAAAGTGCAAGTATACCGTTTTATTTAAAATTGTCATATTTTCATGGTCACAATAGTTGTTTTGGCTTTCTGTATGGTCATTATAAAAAAAAAAAAGTGTTAGAAAAAGGAGTATATTTGTAAATTTCTCTATTTTCAATATTATCGAGTCAAATCAACTTTAAGTAATCGAACGCTTGGTTTGTTTTACAGCCAATCGTCCAAATCGGATAATGCAAGGACCACAGACGGGCCAGGGGATGTGTCTGAGCCAGGCTCTGGATCTCAAACTGAACCGGACGAGTCAGGTTCTGTTCAAGACGGTTCAACGCCGGCTCAGGAGACTGTTTTGGCAGACGGGTCATGGTTGGCGGACTTGGCGACTGGGGATTCGACCAGAACACGATCTTTTGGGTCGGGCTCCATTTGCGTAGCATTGAGAATATGTTTAATTGCGCTTGTACATCTAGCTGCAGCAGTAGTACCTTCCCATTTGTAAAATTGAACCACAAAGTAACAAGGGCTTGCAGCAAACTGTAACTCAAAAAATAAGGAACATTGGTGCATTCACCTTTCATTTTACATCGGCCACTTTCTCTTTTTGTTTTACCTTTAATTTGTTGTTTGGCTAAAGGTGCCTGATTAAAGTTCAAGGAACAATACATGGTTATTTTTTATGTGTAGAGGATTTATTCTGATGTTTTATATGTCACACTTTCTTCAATTCAACAAAACTAAATAAAAAAGAACTCCCGAAGTGTTATTTATTATGTAGGGTGTGAATAACTATTAGTTGTTGTAATTGTATTATTATAATTGTCATCAAAAATTAATCTATAAATATAAGCCCCAGTTATAATAAAATTATACATATATAAATACAAGATTCAATTATAATAAAAACCTTACCAAGAAATTGTATTCTCTCTCTGTTCTCATTCTTTCTCTCTAGTTTTATAACACAAACAACTTTATTCAATAAAAAATGTAGTATTAAAAGAAATGAAAAATGATGAGAAAGAAGAGTGGGCAGATTTTGTTATCAAGAGATTCATGTACAATGATTGATCTTTGGATAAATTAGAGCGATAAATTATGTTATCACATTATGATTCATATTTTATATTCGCCTCCTAGAGATTTGCATACAAGTAGCAAATGTCTTCACATGTATACGGGTATTGAACTCAACTTTTATTTTATTTTATTTGATTATTTATTCGAATCTTTCTTCTAATATTCTTTCCTTTTCTATTCGGCCTTTCCCGCTGGTGGGTTGTTGATTGAAGATTGAAAGAGGAAATGGAGAATTTTTGGGCCAGTCCCTCGTCCTTTTTGTAGGGCTATGTGATANTGATTAAAGATTATAAAAACCAGTGTTCTAACTTACGACAATTGTACTTACAGTTATTGAATTTTTTAGTATTGAATCAATATACACAAAGATTCACTGGTGATCTAATAGTAAAAATACAAATACAATCGGTTGAAATTTCCCCCGCAAAAGAACATTTTGAGGTAAAACTTTGACTGGTTGTGTTAAAGCACCTTAGGATTGGTAGAGACATAGGAATTTTGTCTGCCAATGACTTGGTTTCTCTAATATTTTTTGTCTTTTTCTAAACTTTCATTAGTTAATTTAATGGCGGTTTGCTTTAAGTGATAATAATGATGGTGAATAGTGGAAGGATGAGTCATTTTCTATAACGTAATAATTTTTATTTTTCCACTATAATGTAATAATTATCGGCTTGACTTAAGGATAATGGTGTTCAAATAGCCTTTCACTGCTTTATAACCCATCCGTTATACATGTCTCCATAAAGTATGTGATAAACTCTATTCATAGGTTGGACGGTTAACTGGTTATATTTATATTGAATGAAAGTATACTAGTACAATACCCGTGTATTACACGGGTGTTGAATTAGAAAATTTTTGTAAAAAATATTAAATATTTTGATATAGAAAGCTTTTGTAAAAAATATTAAATATTTTATAATTTAATTTTATATAAAACATTACTTTGAGTTTTAATTAAATTGTCAAATTATATTTTTTTAATCATAATAATTAAACACCCGTGTTGAATTTTTTTGCATATATCATATAAAAATATCGATATTCTTTACTATTACATAAGTACAAAAATATATATCTTAAATAAATAGAAATAATATGGTAATATGTATATACATAAGTGTAGAATATATTTATTTGATATTAAGCAAAATAAATTATTTTTTTTTACTTAATTAGATGCTTAATACATTTAAGTGTCGTATCAGTTGTGCTTCACAGTTTTTTAACTTTATATGTAATTTTAGAATTTAGATAAATAATTATCTATTTTTATTAGATTGACAACATACCAATTAGATAAATTATTGGCTCTAGCAAATGGGAAAATTTTATAACTGTCACAATTTAAGAAAAATATTGCACAATAATAACCAGGCATACACAATCCAAAGAGTTAACAATCATAAACAAAAAACAAATCAAAAAACACAAAAACTTTCAGGAAAAAAAAAAACCCCGATTCATTCACAAAAGAAATTAGACAAAATAAAAAATTTGGAATAAAAAACACAAAAGAAAGAAGAAAAGAGAGTGACGAGATTAAAAGGACAAGCAAATCACAATCCCATTAATGGTAGAATTCTTCCAAAACTAAACTATTAAATTAACAAATAAAAAATATTAATTTATATCCAAGCCTAACTCCAAAGCCTGATTTTTTGTCAAATAGGATTCCAAAGCATGAGAGTTTGCCACGTAGGCTCAACGCATTCTGAAATTATATATAGAGGGGATATTAAGAATGGTGCTCTAGTAATAAATATATAAAGGATGATATAATCTTTAATGTAATAATATGATTATATTATTTCACAAATTACATCACTTTTATAAATAAATATATAAAGGATGATCTAATCTTTAACGTAATAACACATGTTATGATTATATTATTTTACAAATCACATTACTTTTAAAATCAACGACGACTAAACATCCGTCTTGTTTTCTATCATTCATTATGTCAACATATCTTAATTCATATATTCATAATATTAAAAACATATAATTATTTGTGCTATTTTTAGTTAGATATATCAATCCATTATATTTTTCTAAACAAAAATATATTCTATATCCCTATGAAGTATCATTGTTTTGTCTGTTGTATTTTAGATATGATATTTTAATATCCTTATAGTTACAGTGACAAATTGGCATCTATTATTATATAAAGAGGCAATCCAAAAAATCCTAAAAGAGTAACTAAAAAATAATTCAGATTCCCGCCTAAAAATTTACTAAACATAGCAATGTTTTGGAAAATTTTAGAAATATCCCGCCTAAATGTGTTTCTAAAAATTTTTGGGAAAATTTTAAATTTAAACATTTAAATAAATTTCTATTTTATTTTGACTTTCATATAATCTACACTAATAAATTATTTTTGGTCAAGACTGGCGCCCTGGTAAGATAAAATAATTAATTAATTATTCAAATGAACCTCTTTTTTAAGATATAAAGAATATAATATTTTAATTAATTAATTATTTACCTAATCGGATTTATTTTAACAAACTTTTCAATTTTTTTGAAATTAAAATGGTATGATTATTCTTACGGATATACTTATCAAAATATTAACTATTTTAAACACTTTTTGAAAAAAAAAAAAAAAAAAAGTTATCCCGCCTATAAGGATTTCATAAATGTTCATAGAAATATCTCTTAAGAGTAGAATTCTTATCAACTCAAGGCTGATGAAAAGAGAGTCTATTTGAAATTCAAATTAATGTTTTTAAATATATTAATAAACATTTATTATTTATTTTTTTTCTTATCTGATATAAATTTAAATTTGGTTATTAGATTTTTATATTCAAACATTTAAAGGAAAAATCACAAACAATTTTTTTGGGTACATTTTATTTTATCTTAACTTCCATATAATCACATTCCAAACTAATTAAATAATATTTTTTTAATCCACATATCTAACCGAATCTTTTAAAATATACTTACTTTAATATTTTAATTAATAACCATCCATCTAACTGGATTTATCTCATTAACAAACTTGCCCAATTTTTTTAAATTAAAATGGTGAGATTATTCTTACGGATATACTTACCACTATATTAAACACTTTAGAAACTTTCTAAAACAAATTTCAATTATTTCGCCTTTTTCTTTATTTGAAATTCAAATATTATATTTTTAAATATATTAATAAACATTTATTATGTATTTTTCCCTTATGTAAGATAATCTAAATTTGGTTATTATATTTTTAAACTTAATTATTTTTTAAAAAATATCACAAGTAGATTCTTTTGGTACATTTCATTTTATCTTAACTTCTATATAACCACATTCGTAACAAACTAATTAATATAATTTTTTTATCCACATTTATCAAACTGAATTTTTAAAATATAATTAATATAGTATTTTAGCTAATTAATTATTTATCTAACTGAATTTATCTCATTAACAAACTTGCCAAATTTTGTAAAATGAAAATGGTACGATTATTCTTAAAGATATATTTACCAGAATATTAATCATTTCAGAAACTTTTTTAAAACAAATTTGAATTATCCCGCTTTTTACTTTATTTGAAATTCAAAATTATTTTTAAATATATTAATGAACAATTATCATTTATTTTTTTTCTTATGTGATATAATCTAAATTTGGTTATTGGATTTTCAAAGATTCATCATAAATATACTTATATACCAATTTTTATATTAATGACTTTTTTCTTTTCCGTCATCCCTTATTCTTTTTCTCTTTATCTTTTTATTATTCTCTTATTTCTTCTTCCATCCCAAGCGCTCGACGGTCGGAATAGTCCCAAAGTGGCGAAGGTGGGTTTTGAGGTGGGCCGCGTCGTGTGGGTGGAGGCGGTGGGAATGGTGGGAGCAACGGTTGTGGCTCTGACAACAGTAGCTATTGATATTTATGTTTTTCATTGTTTATATGAATGAAATGTGAAAAATATAAACAATTATATTTAAAATAAATTCTAAAGAAAGGTTTAACATATGAGTTTCTCTGTACATCGCACGGGATATACACTAGTCTTTTACTATATAAGGGTTACAAATATCCTTGATGATCTAATGAAATTTTGTCAAAAACTGAGTTACAAGTTACAACTAAGACAAGGTGGGTGATTAACCAATAATTTCTTGGTTTGAAATAAAAAATGAAAAAAAATAAAAAATCAATTTCTATCAGCAGAGGCAAAGATGAAATTGCCCAAACATCTAACAAACTGACACAAGTGTAATGGGTCCCAGGAAAACAAGAGGGAAATTTAAAAAATCATAACCGAAGATCAGCATAAAATTCATCCAATGGGAATCCCATGACCTTTTTGACAGTAAAGAAGCATTATTATCTTAGCAGAATCTTTCTTATTATCATTTCATAATAGAATAACATGGAGAAGATTATCTTTTTCAACAAAAATAAGTAGGGATAATTGGGGAATCTTTTTCGCATGTCAAAAACCCCTGCAATCAGGTACATTTTTTAAATACCAGCACATTTTTAAATATACAAACGTGACAAACTTTTTGTAATAAAAACTCTCACAACACAACATCTTAGTATCAATCAATGGTTCACTAATATAGAAGGTAACCTAAATTCAATAAACAGGTGAATAGGATAGAAAAAAAAGGGCGAAAGATAATAGTATAAAGTTTACCGTGTAATGCTAATCAATAAAGGGTAACAATGGTCCGACTCGTAGTTGGGCCACAACCGATCACCTTCACTGTATTTTATATGCCGAGCCCAAACTTCTGTATCATAGGTCTCGGTTATGGTGATGTGGAGCCCACTATCCTTAACTTCCACCATAAACTTTTCCAATGAATCCCCTCTTTGGGGGCTAAAAAGTATAGCCTCAGAGGGACCGTCTTCTTTTAGCAAGCATCTGATTGTTCGAGCAAGGCCTTCGTGGAATTCCTTAAAGAAAGTGCTGCAAAGATGACAAAGATAAAAGTCAAGAGAATGATCTTGATATAGCCAAAAAGAATAAAATAGAAAAAAAATAAAAAAAATCTGAAGACAAGTAATAGCATGTGCAGCTTATGTGTTCATTTTTGTAAAAGGTCAGAGTTGATTGGAAATTTGGAAGATAGTTATTTTGTTGCCATTTGAATAATGTCCCACAAAGCTTGTAATAATCAACAGAAATTTATCATGATCAACCTAATAGAACCTAGTCTTCCTATAGAAAAAATAAATATTTGGTTGATGTTAATACATTCAGGAAAAACATGTGCCAGAAGCTATTTTTGATAGATGTAAATTAATTACCAGTCACTTGCAACAACCAGATCAAAGGCTCCACAGATATCCAAACCTTCAACCTGATCCCAGTGCAGAACCATCGACTTTACCTTAGTACTGCAGAACGAAGCTGAGTTGGCATCTATATTACGCTGTATATCTAGTTGTTAAAGATGTCCTATCATAGGTACCAAAAACAAATAAATAAATAAAAATAAAAAGTTAAACCACATAACATGAAACCAGTAATCACTTGCCTGCTTTAGATAAGTATTTTTCAATATTTTACATGCTAAGAGCTCCATAAGAGCATCAGTTCAACCATAATTGCGGAAGATGCGATATGAGATCAGAATCAGTTTAAACAGAGATAATCAGAGCAAGATCTTCATTTCGAATTGTAAAATCTGAGTTAAGATTTAAGTCAAAAGGATACAATCAACCACTTGAGGGTTTCCATCAGATATCACGACTTCTGATGCGTCGGTTGCTGTGGCAATAACAAAGCCAGCTAACCCATACCCTGACCCAAGTTCAATTACTTTTTTACCCCTGGAAGTATTTAATGGAAACTGGAAAATGAGTACCAGAGCAAGAAATGACATTAAGCAAACGGAATGAGTCACAAAAGATGTAAAACCTGAAGAGGCTGAGGTGTGACAAGGAATAATAAGCAAGTACGTCCTCCGAAGGCCACTGACCTGTTCAGAAAGAACACCCATAAACTCAGAAGTATAATGTAATTAAATTTTGTGAAAATATGCAATTTTAGTAGTGTTTAGGACAGAGAATTTGTACATAAACAATGTTTTATGTACACGAGTGATAGAAAAATGGTACTCAGATGTTTAACGAAGAATAAAACCATTTTCTTTTAAAGCAACACATGAGGGATATACATTAGACAAATTTCAGACTTGTTAAATGAGATCCCATTGGTCATATTCTCTATCGACACAAAAATGAACTTCTAAAAATATTGTCCAGTGGAATAGCTCCTTTACAAATTAGAAAACATCCACAGTGATGGTCCTGAAGGATTACCACGGCTAACATATTTAGCAATGACAAATTTCCATTTAATTTAGTAATCCTGGAACTAGGATCCCCATAATCGACTCATGATGATTAACGATTTTTGTAAGCATGATAACAACTATGATAATACTCCAGTTCTCTGGTACTTAGCATAAAGAAAATGATACTTAAACAACATCAATGATACTTAAACAACAAGGTCTCACTGTAACAACCCAACCTACATTTCCATGTTTGCCTTCTTCTGCTCACTTGTTCGAAGGATTATATTAGATAGGTCATGTTAAGAGTTCCTTCTCTTGCAAGTATAGCGTAATTACAAACACAAATCCTAAGATTCAGCCTGATAAGAAAAGTTCTATTTTATAAGGTCATGTTTCCAATACAAATAATCCATTGAGATTTGTTAATCTTTGTCAATTACCCCCCTCAAAGGAGTAATTTGTGAAATAGAAACACATGTAAGCACTTTAGGCTTACAACACTTCAAGTGGTTATTTTGTAAATAGCAACAAATTTGGCACTTGCATGTTTAGATTTGGAGGGTTATTATGCAAATTGCATAAACCTCAAGGACGTATGTGCAATTCCTCAAATAGTTATTGTCATTGTGTTTCAGCCCACAAATTTTGTAATACTCATAAATCACAATGAACTCAGTCACTGCATTACTTATGAGTTCCATTGCCAAAATTAACTACAAAAAAATGGATAGAACCTACGCTACTATTTCCCAGGGAACATTCGGCGACAATCATGTTCAAGTAAAAGTCAACGTAAATCATACATCTGCCTATAATATCAATAAATTCATGGATATGGACTTAACTTAATGAATGGAGGTATTCACAGAAGGTCAACAGTTAAACAACACGTTACATATTTAAAAATTGGAATGCCCAACTTATTCTACTAATTCTGAATGAAAGGCAAGCCCTCATTAATAAATTACAATTATCTGTCACGAACTTACTAGACAACGAAAAAGAGAATCAAAGAAAAAGGCCGCCGTCCAAATTCTAAGAATTGTAAAACTGGACTAGTGTAGGAATATACGCCAATATGAATTAATCTTCTTTGACAAAGAGAAATATTTCCATGCTCTAAAACAACAAAAACATCAATTGCTGCAGAACGATGCCTGCAATTGAGGTTTTGCAGTTTTATCCAAGCATTGAGAAAGTGGAAACTTACAATGGCTAGATCTCCTTTGCATACTAATCATATTCCTAACTTAAGCAGCTAGTCAGAAGAATATAAAAAATTGAGGAAGCAATCTAACCATACTTCAACAGGCATGATCCGTGAAAGCATTTGATACTACTTCACAAATCTCATGAAAGAATGCACTAGACTAGCCTTTGTCTAATATGGCAATATCCTAAGAAGATTTAAAGCAACAAAAACAAATAAAAGGTCTATGTAGGCACATCAAGCACCTCAGCAACTGACAGTGCTGAAGCCTGGAGAGAATTAGTGCTCAAGAAAGGAGTTAGTCTATGAAAGAACATTCACGAAAATGTATAAGCCATTCATTACAGATTCTGTTTACGACTCTTTCTTGAACAGAACTTGCATTTCGTATGACTTTAAAAAGGCTGCTATAATAACGACGGATTGTCCCAAGTTCATATGTTCATTCTTTTACACTGGATTAGTTATAATAGTTCCCTGGAGTATGGTCTACAATGCATGCATCCAGTCATACTTGTGAAATGAAATTTAGAAGAGATAGGGAGAGAAAGAAAATGACTAAGAGATTGGATAGTTTATACTTACATATAAGTCCGGTGTTGTCAATGTCATATTGATTACAGACTTTATAGTCATTGAGATCAAGACAATCTTCCCATCTTTGACTGCAAAGTAAGACCTTCATTATTTTACACATATCAGCAATTGCACTCACGAAAGAAAAGGCAACAATGTACTGTGTTACTATGGCAACAAAAACAGCTAAATCTACAAGACTACAACTGCTAATGTATCTCAACAGGCTAATTTTCTGCAGCCAAATGGATGTTGAGAGAGTAAAAGGGTTAATGAGCACAAACGAGACAAACATATACATCCACAACACTGACATACACCCGTGATTTACAGCTTTTATGCCATATGCAATAACCCTGTGAAGTACAAACATCCAACAAAACTTCAAACCCTAAAGTCCGTAGACTAAGCAACTATAATCTCCCTAATACAAAAGTTCTCCTACAACTGAAACCTACAATTTCGACTGCTAAGCAAAAGCCAACTCACATTTCACAGCATGAACAGAAACAGCATAGTACGTAGCTAAGACAAGTTCGACAAACACTTTAAGATTAACATATAGATGAAACACGGGGAAGACCAGTGCAGAACGAAAGCGGATGTTGCTGGGCCTGATGTCCATACTCGGAAACTCACCGTAGAAAAAGCTTAGGAGCATTAGGAAGCGGTAATGAATAGCAGAAACAAGCATCTTTCTTTGGCAAAGCATCTGAACCTTCTTCTCCACCATCGTTCACTAAAACCGACGGTATCAAATCGAACCCGTTTCTCGTTCGTCGAGATACCTTGTCCAAAATGATTTCTTCGGAGGAGTTCGATGTGTGGCGGCGAAGAAGCGCGCGGCGGAGGATCTGCCACCGCAGAGCAGAAGGTCTTGGGGAGGAATGTGAACGAGCGGGTTCCATTATTGCGCCTAAATTTGAGTCGACTGTCCACGAAGAACAACAATTTTGACAGAATATAGGTCTTTTTGGAAAATTGCTTTTTTATCACTAATTCTTTGTTTTTTTAAATGAATTTTTCCAATCATATTCAAGCCAATGAAATTTTCGAAAAATGTATGTCGATCTTACTATGCTGACATGTCGATTCAATGTGAATACAAAAAATAATTCGTGTCAATTCAACCCAGCGTGTGTAAGGAGCTAACGTTCAACTGCAAAGTAAACGTCTCATCCCTCAAAAGTCGAGAGCCGCTTGTCATTTTACATTTGGTGGGTCTCTTTTCTAGCCAATACATTATTTGTTGTGTAAAACACTAAAACTTTGAGTTTTGAAAATTAATTGATAATCGAGTAATTTAAAACCTCGTGTCGTTCTCTAATGAAGGTTCTTCAGAGCTAATTTCACAATTTAGTTGCAACTACAAAAAGAAAAAATAAAATTCTAGAAATTCTAATCACAATTTTGTTTGTTTGAATGAGTGTTAAATTTAACTAATTACGAAATTAAAAAATAATTAAATAAATTTTCCACCTTTCACACTCTCGGAGTCTCCAACACTTTGACGAGATGAAAATAAAAAGTCAAACCTGCAAAAACTAACAAAAAAAGTAGCTAAATTTGAACATTAAATACATCTACACATGCAACAACCTTTTACTACAATTTCGACATAAAGCTAAAAACTTTATGTCCAAAACTAACGAGCTAATTATCTTAGATTAACAATTTCGACATAAAGCTAAAAACTTTAACTACATTTCATACTCTACGCATGCAACAACCTTTTATTTGAGTAAAAATCACAGAAATTCAAAAAAACAAGTTGAGAAGAACTTACGAGATCTTATGTCTTAAACTAGATCCCCAAGTCTCTAGAACGATAAATATGTAGAAGTAAGTCAGAAAGTCGCGCTCGACGATAAAGCAAAACATTAAAAATAGAGTTTTGGAGATCCAACTTCTCATAAGTGGAAATACAGAATAAAAAAAAGAAAAAACTGAAAATTAAAAAATGCTAAATGTGGAGTGTTGTCTTAAATGTATAGAACAAATTGTTTATACAATTCCCACGTGAAACACGCATTAAAACACACACACACAATAATAATACTTAGTACTCGTTAGGTAGCGTAAGGACTCGCGCTAATAGCAATAGCGGATGATGCTTGCACGATGGGCTGACTCTAGGCAACAACTCACATTTTTTTGGCAATAGCTTGTGTTTCCTTGGCAACAACATAATTATCTCGGGCAACACTCTCAATAACTGATATTAAAGGATGGACTGTGACGAAATGTGTTGTAAATATTTTTTCGGAGTAGAATCAAAAGATTCGAACACTGGGTTGTGTCTCTCAAGGAAGGTTAACCGGATTATTATGCACGTTTATTCAACCACACAAAAGAAAATAAAATTCCTAAACATTCTAATTCAGATGATTTGGTTTGATTATTAATTACGAAAAAACTTCAAATAAAACAAATAGAAATAGCAAGCAACGATGAAGAACAAGTAGGATTTAAGGAACTATGGAGTCAAGGAGATCCGTTTTGGTTCGAATTGCAATTAATGGAAAGTAATTGTTCAGTTAAGTGATTTGAATAATTGACACGTTCAAGTACTCATTCTCAATAACTTTTCGTAACAAGAGAACAAACTAGAATGGCAAATTAACAATTCATTTAACTCCTAGGTAATACAGTTACAAACAAGCCTAGTTCATACGAGCCTATTTCGACCGACCCCTCCCCTTTCGGTTCTAAGAGTCGATTAAAGTAGACTAGAGGGTGGTTAACCGACTAATCAATAGATTCACCAATGTTAAGCACGAATAAATCAAATTCAATTGAAACAATTGTACGTTGAAGTGTCACCCTTCAACAATTATCAATACCCAAGCCTGACAGTTTAAAAATCTTTTAAAAGATCAACTCGCATCAAATTGAACAATCTTGAGCCCGACAATCACAAACGATATCAAAACATCAATCTCCTATCTCTAGCATGTGAATTTAGCCACTCATGCTTGAATAATCAACACAAGAATTTATATCATCCCAAGAATTCATATTCATCAAGCTAAATGAAAAGAAAATCTTACGAATGATAAAATCCCACAGTTGAATTTGATAAACAGGCTTAAATCCCAAGCAATAGCAAAATCCGAGATCAAATCCGTGTTCTACGTCGAAAACGATGAGAGAAATATGAAAGACGAGTGAAAAAGAGAGGGGGCACGGTTTCTGTGATTTTCGGTGCGTGAAAAGATGATGATCCCCGTCGAAGTCCGATCTCAATATGGCGCGGCCCGGGGGAGCGCTGGGTTGTCTGTGGGCTGCAGTCCATGTCGTGGCACTGGCGCGGCACGATGACGGGCTGTGGCGCGGCGCGGGGGCATTGCGGGCGTGGAGTGCGGGGCCTGGGAGCTGGTTTCCTTGCACGTCTTCACTTTTCGGGCTCGTTTATACTCGTTTGGACTCGGAATTCGATTCCGTTTTTTTCTGTGTGTTCACAACGAACTCCTCTATCTAATTAAGCTTGCCCGACTAATTTTCGCTTGAAATTCGGTCCTCCCGAGGCTTCCGACCTACACATCATAAATAAAGGAAAACTGGAAAAATACACGGAAAGCACACGAAAAACCAAGAAGAGAGCAAACACGAAATAAACTATAAAATGAACTAAAACTCATCTAAACGACCTAAAATGGGGGAAAAATAAAGACAAAAAGATAATAAAAAACGCAACAAAAATGGGACAAACAAAATGCTCGAAAATGAACAGAAATGGTAAGTGCTCAGTTACGACTCTTGTGCTCGGGACTCGGGCTCGATTATTCATATTTAATTACGATTAATGGACTTAAAAAATCACTAATGAATACGAAAAAATACAATCAAAACAAGAAACACAACACAAAGACACAAAATACAAGAAATGAACAAAAATGGACCGAATGAACAAATAAATGAGCCTAAATGAACTCGACTGAATACAATAATAAGCACAAAAACATACAAAATACACGTGTCCCGGAAATATTCCTAAGGCACCATGACTCAGCAAATATCACGATGTTTTTTTTTTATCTTTTTACCTTCTATAAATAGTATAAAACTAATACAAAAAAGGGGACGGTCATACTTAATAATAATCAGAACAATTACTACAACACTAATACGTATGCTTATTTTCTTACTAATATACTCACAATAATATACGTTCAATTTATGTTTTTCGTGCCAATCTCACACAAAACTCTCTAAATATGTTCCAATTCTTTGCAATTTATTTTATTTAAAATTCACATACCAACAAATTAGCGCAAGAGGAAATGCGGATTTAGCAATTATAAGGATTTAGCAATTATAATAAGGGGACCTAATTATTTAATGAAGAAATATAAAATATCATAACGAAAAGTGCAAATACAAAGACATACTTTTATAATTGTATTTTACGAGTTTTCATGACCTGATATCGCTCGATAATAATATTATTATCAATTTTTAAGAAAGTTTTATTTTCTACATAAATCAGTAGTCTATCATTTAACCAATCATCACTCAGAGATTGAATTTGTAATTTCTACACACAAAAAAATATATATTTGCCACTACCTAAAACAATAAAGAAGAATAATTTTATCTCCACCCAAATAAATATAAAATTTTGTTACCTTGTGAGTCGTCTTCTCGAACAATTCAAACAAAAATTGATAAGTTTTTTTTACTCTTTTCTCTCTCTTTTTCCCTCTCTTTTTTCCCTTCTTTTTTATCTTTTTTTGTCTCTACTTTTGCCGTCTTGCGAGTTGCGTGAATCTACTACCAGCCTTTTAATTTATTTGTTAATAAAACCTTTATTATATAAGTCTTAATAGTTGGGCTTAATTAGATTTTTTTTAATAGCAATAGTACATGGGCTATATATGATTAGTTAACAATCATGTCTCGGTTTGACTTCTTAAGGAGAAGATTCATCAATATTATATAAATAGTTCGGATCGTTAAGGAGCGAACTCATTAATATTAATATATGAGCCGACTGGAGCTCGATTACCATCTTATTTAAGTAACGAGTAGAGTCAAGCTCGGCTCATTAAATACTCGAACCCGAATTTGAGTACCATAAGTTTGAACTTGGCTTGGTTCGTTTAAACGGGCCTCCCATCTCACCACTAGAAACCTACAAGGACCCAAAGAGTAAATCATTGAGGAGGCCCAATGAAATTTTGCCCTTTTTAGATCAAGAAAAGCGTTGAGAGAGAGAAAGAGAAGCGCGGTTCAACGGCAGCATTTCCCGGCTAAATAAGGTACTTTGCGCAATGGCCGCTTACTTTTCCTTCTCACCAATCTCCTTCCACATAGATCAATTAACCATATTCTTTGCTCTCTCAATTTCTCTCTCCATTTTCTTCTCATTCCCCCTCCCTTCCCCCACATTCATTTACATAAAAGCTTTTTCCATATAGGGTTAGGGTTCGAATTGGTCAAATCTGTCTAGCGGCTGCAAGCTCTCAAGGGGAAGAACGATGGGAAATTCGAGGATTGTGTAATTTCGCGCGCGTGGTTTGCGTATCTGTATAATTAGGTAGTTGGCGATTGCCCGTTGATCGGGTCTTACGGTTAGAGATCTGGGATTGTAGAGAGCGAGAGGGTGTAGAAACAGAGTGAAAGAAGAAGGAGAAGAAGAATGAGTGCTTCAAGATTCATCAAGTGTGTGACGGTGGGCGATGGCGCGGTTGGAAAGACATGTCTCTTGATTTCTTACACCAGCAACACCTTCCCCACGGTCTGACATTTTATTTTCGTGTTCTTGGTATTTATTATGTTGTGATCGTACTGTTGTTTGTGATGGTCATTTCAGATTTGAATTTTCCACCCTTTTTTGTTTCATTTTTCTTGCTTTAAATAAAAAAATGGGGAATAGTTTAACTAAAAGAATTTACCGTGTTGCAATTTGAATTGTAAAAGGATATGATTGTTTCTGTTGATTTTGTGGTTATGATGGTCTTTTTCGTGCATTTATCTGAAAATGAAAAGGCCATCTGGCATGAATATTGCAATTTAGCATCTGATTGGGACTTATTTTTGTTATTTCAATTTATATGCCAGTGGTACTTCAGAAGAATAAATGATAAGATGTCATTCAGAATAACTTATGGTGACTACGTGATCTGGGCTTATCCTAATTGAAAAAGTTAGGAGATGACCAGTCTTCAAATATGCATGCCGGTGATGAGATAGTGAATTGTTATGTTTCATTTTCCTGGTTTCACGAATGTCTCATAAAAATTGGATGCAAGTTGTAGGGAAAAATTTATGTTTTCAGCTGTGGCGATGTCAAGAATCTAATTTTGTAACTACTTATGGTTCGGCCATGGTTATATTGTTTCCAGACTAGAAGAGTGTCGCTTTACCGCCCGTGTAATGTTTCAGTTACGCGAGTCTAATTATATATATATACATATATATATATATATGTATATATAAAAAAAATTGATGAGGTTGTTCTTTTTCCATATGTTTGTCACCTCCCTCACCTTATAAAGGAACTCTGCTAGCGTCACTACTTAGATTCTTCACTATTTCACTTATTTCTAGTTAAATTAAAAATGTTTTTCTCAGCATGCAATAAGGTTATATGTGAATTATGCTGTATCACTTGTGACTAAGCTTCAGATGAACTCTGTCGTATAACACCTGCATCTTTAGTTTGAAGTTGATTCACATCTTATATAACGCTGTATTTTTTCTCTTTCATTTCAATCTATAGATTTTTAAACATTTTCTCTTTATTTGCTAAATGGAACAGGACTATGTGCCCACGGTATTTGATAACTTCAGTGCGAATGTGGTCGTAAATGGAGCAACCGTAAACTTAGGCCTGTGGGATACTGCTGGTAAATGTTTTTGTTGACATCTGCAATTTTTAAGATGCTATATCCATATGGATAATTTTACCCATGGGTGCATGACTATATATATTTCAGGTATAATTTGTGAACTTAAATATTTCTATTTCATGGAACAGGACAGGAGGACTATAACAGATTAAGACCTTTGAGTTATCGAGGAGCTGATGTTTTCATTTTGGCATTCTCACTCATCAGCAAGGCTAGCTATGAAAATGTCTCCAAGAAGGTGACAATTTGATTGCTTGGAATATATTTCCATTTTCACTTTTTATAAAACCTTTTTGCATTACTTATTCTTGTCCACCAACTTATTTTATTTTTTCTTACAGTGGATTCCAGAACTGAAGCATTATGCACCTGGTGTCCCTATTGTTCTGGTTGGCACAAAACTTGGTGAGAATTTTGATTTTAAGTGCTATGAATAGTATCTTCCCTCAATATGTACAGTTGCATATTTTGAAAGGATACGTATTGGAAAAGTGGAAATAGACATCTTGTCTTCAGTCTTCTGTAATTTACTCCTGTTGACGTATAATATACAAAGCTGGAGAGGAAGCTTCCATATTTAGTTTTGGTCACATACATTCCACCAATAGCTGGCATGTTACTACAAACTGGGCTAGAAATTGTTGGTTGAGTGCGTCTTCTGAATGCTAGTATATGATCTTGTGGTAAGTGAAGCAGAAAAATGTATTAGACGGAATGTTATATGTAGTAATTTCTCATTGTTGTCTTCCTATCATAGCCACCATGCTAGAAACCTTCTGGTCATTGTTCATTCAAGTCACTGAGTTTGCTTCAACTCTCATTTTCGGTTAGTCTAATTAAATTATTAAATTAGAACAGCATGTATTAGATTAATGGTAAGGTTATTGCAGTGCAAATTTGTAATGCCCTTTGAACAGTTCTTCTGAAATTGCCAATTCTGCAGTATGCTTTTGTTTCGTATCAGTCTTATGTATGAATCAATCTCTACAAATTTATAGGATGAAGCCTGTGAGAACTGTTTTAATGGTATATATAGGATGTATGACAGACCTCTTTCTGATACTCTTGCATGTTATCCCTGATATGCCTATATGCATATTTGCATATTAAAATTAACTTGAGGATAACTGATCCAGATGCATATGTACTATTTATCACATGTCGAAGAGATTGGCTTTAGGATTTTGTTGTTTTAATTTTTTTTTTTCTTTAGTGGTTGATGATGGGTCAAAATTACTCATTATTTGTTCAATGGTGTTCAGATCTTCGGGATGACAAGCAGTTCTTCCTTGACCATCCAGGTGCGGTACCAATCACTGCAGCACAGGTGATATGTTATACTTTTCGTATATCACTCTTTTTCCTATTTTCCTTTTCAATCGTTTGCTTTTATTATTCTTTCCTGAGCTGTACGTCATTATGTTGTCTTTCTTTCACACTTTCAGGGGGAGGAGTTAAGGAAACTGATTGGGGCTCCATCTTACATCGAATGTAGCTCGAAAACACAGGAGGTTCGGTTCTATTGAGATCTAATTCCCAATTTTTTTTCGATGATGCTTAAGACTATTAATAACTGAACTAGTAACCTGATACATATAATTTTTCTCTGTACCTCAGAATGTCAAAGCAGTTTTTGATGCGGCCATTAAAGTTGTTCTTCAGCCACCCAAACAGAAGAAGAAGAAAGGCAAGGCTCAAAAGGCCTGTTCCATTCTGTGATCAGCATTATGTGTTGAGACACATAATCCACCAATCATCATGTTCAACGCCATTTTTTTGTCTCTCTCATCTTTAACAGATTCGTATGTAGGTTTGTGTCCCCTTGTGGTACTTTTGCTAAAAGTAACTAGCGATCTATTTGAAACTATCTCGGTGGCAGCTTGAATTCTTTGTCTATTGCCTTTTCAACCCTAATTTGCTAAGTCAGTCGCGCTTTAGGTGACTTAGCTGTGCCCTTCTGTTTTGGTTCGTTTTTCCTTTTATGCATTCACTGGACAGAAATTGTGATGTTCGCTAAATATATTCATTGGTTCTTGAATTTTGTCAGAATCTTTCCAGTCCTGTAGTTGGGTTGAGGTTTTCATTTTTATTTTTATTCTTTTGTACTTTTTTTATATGATCATATCAGCTTGGGTGGTGGTATGTGCTTCAATACTTGATCCACATTGGTTCTTGAATTTTTCCAGTCCTGTAGAGGTTTTCTTTTTCTTNTTTTCTATATGATCATGTCAGCTTTGGTGGTGGTATGTGCTTCAATACTTGATCCATTCAATACATACATTTATGGGAGTATAGATTTTAAGAATGAAATTAATGACATGAAGGAGAATGCTACCATCCCGTTATGGGATGGTTCTGTTGTGTTTTCTAACCATAGATGTAAATACAATTAGTGATGGGTAGTTAATCCAACGGTTAAAAACACAACGGAACCATCCCGTAACGGGATGGTAGCATTCCCCTGAGATGAAAATGTAATTGAAAAATGCATGTGATTTATAATTAAATGAAAAATGGATCTAACCTCAAAATAAATTCAATAGAAATTATTGGTTTCAGTGGTGATTTTTGATAACTCAGCGCTGATAGTTCGATATCATAACAAAGTCTTCGTCATTTATTATTAATTATTTTGACTCTTTTAAGTCCTAAAAATTTAATGCCACGAAGCATCTTTAGCATAATCAACACACAAATTCTTGTGTTAGCCAAGATCATTGTAATATGATGGGTCAATAAATCATACTTTATTAAATAAAAATAACACTTATATTATAAATTGTCATACTTTTATTTATATTATTTTTAAAATATGATATTTCAATTTAAAACTATATATATCAATTTAAAAAATACAACGGCCTAATGCTTTTAATAATATTAACCTATCGCAATCAACACCCATGCAAGTTGCATGAGGATGGACCGATTGATATACCCTTTTCATATATGCATAATATAAGATCATTGTTGCATCTATAACAACAACGATCTAATGAAGTGAAAAACACAAATACAATTTGTTGTTTAAGACTAGGCTTTTTCTTGTTGGTTTTGTTCAGCTATTTTACCAGTAATTTCTTCTGAATTTCCTCTGAATGTTCTCCTAACCTTTCTTACTTTCTGGTGTAATGTTGTGTTCACTCAGTCTAATACAAGTAAGACAGTCAAAACGATACATTCCCTAGAAGCAACTATCTGAAAAATAGCATATCAATATTAATGCAATGTGCAACAATTCTAGTCCGGAGAAAATTTGACTACAGGTGTATGAAGTACTGAATTACATCATTCATCGTTCATTTTTCACATGCAACGGTAACTAGGTAAAANATCTTGACAGCATCACTTAAAACAGGCTAGAAAGCTTAACGTTGGGGATCTTATCACGCCCCGTTTGTCTACTTAATTTTTCGTCCGTTATTACACTGTTGTCATTAATCATGGTTTTCACACGAGCACTTTCCCGTGGCAACTCATTATTTGATGACACGTTCGTCTTGATCTTATTCTGATCAAGAACCTCCAATTCTGGGAGTGGATTCTTCATTTCCATATTATCTTGCTTAGCAATTGTAAGTAAAGTGTCGAGTATTATCTTTCCAAGCACAAACCTGACCTGATGTGCCTTCCCTGCTGTTAGCAAATTATGATTTATGTACACAACTCGCTTGCTGGCCTCCAAGGATGTGACATCTTTTTCCAAAATTTTAAAAATATCCTTGACCTTATGCCCCATATTCTCGGATACAAAAACCTGTAATTAAGTCAAATTTTCAACTAATTCATACCATCACAAGACATGATTCTGTATCCAAAACGGAAGTAGATAGAACTTGTCATCCTTCATTAATCTTTCTTTTATAGGTTCTAATTTAATCCCCCCAAGAAAAAAAATGAAAGCCATCGCCACCTTTTGATCCTAGTTATTTCTACTATTTTACCATCAAATTTGGGTCCAAAAAGATTTCGATCCTCAGTCACCAGAAGATTAGAGGGGAACAGATATTAACAACACTGCAACAAACAACCTACATTTTTTTTTTGTGGGATTGTTTTCATACAGAAAAGAAGGGTCAAGTAGCGAGAGTACATGGTGGTTTTAGTGGCACCAACTTGTTTTGGGATAACTATCAATAGAACTGATGATACATCGATACATTATACTACCTCCGTGCTGTTTCTCATTTCCATCCATACTAAAAAAAATGTATTATTTTACATTGTAGGTTCCAGTAAATTCTCGATTCTCCTATATACAATTATTTACATTGATTTAATGTTGACCTACTACTTTAGAAAGAGTAAAACTGTCTAATCAAATAAGGATAACAAAGAAACAAGAACTAAACACACTGTAAACTAACAACGGGATGGGGGCAGTAGTATGTTATTCTTTTCGAACCATGAATTTGGAGTGTAACCACAATTGACAGAGTTAAATCTTTACTTACCAGACTGGAGGGTGGGATTTCTTGAAACCTGGTCATTGCTTCCACAAGACAGTCCTTTCTGGTGAGAATATTGACAGAGTTTGCTACTTGCCAAGCAAACCGAGTTACTCTTTCAGCTATTTCATCATCAGATAAGTCATGAGAAGCATCTAAAACTTCAGGCACATAAATCCGGGTAGCCTTAGCATTTTGTCTTGCAAACTCGATACTTTCGGTCCATGTTTGATGATAAAGAAGTGAGGCAAAGGTTAGAACCACGACAGCATGCTGCGGATTACTATATAGTGCCATGTGAAATGCCATGATTGCGACCCTGTTCCAGAAATATCATAAGAAAAGGAATACTAACAAGCATATGCTCAAAAACATGTATAGATTATATACACAATAACAACCCGGTAACTTCTAAAAAAAAGGAAGGGTGGGCGTTTGAAGTGACTGAATTAAATTAATAAGAAGAATCATGGTGGATGTATGAACTAGATGACTAAAAATAATCCTGGGTGAGTTGACAGTTTTCAAGTTGAAATGCATTCATAGTACTGTAGTAGTGTGACTGATCATTTAACAGGATTCACTATCCAGTACTAGGGCTGCAAACGAACCGAGCGGCTCGCGAGCACTCGAGTCAAAGAACGACTCGAGCTCGAGTTTGACCGAACTCGAGTCGAGCTCGTGCCCATATTTTGCATTGTCGAGCGGCTCGAGATATATGTCGAATTACTAAAATACCCCTTATATATATTACAATAGTATAGCATAGGTGCTTAATAGTAATTTTTTTTTCCACTTAAAAGTTTTCGAGCCGAACTCGAGCCGAGCTCGAGCATTTTGATTTCGAGTCGAGCTCGAGCAGCTTAAAAAAAAAAAAAAAAAAAAACCAATCCTGCTCCATAAGGCCAATGCTCGACTCGGCTCGACTCGTTTGCAGCCCTACCAATACACCACCGACACTAAACATGTTGGAAAGGAAGATTGACAGAGAATTGATTTCTTAGTGTGTATAACCTAGTTCACATCTTAAGAACATGTTTGAACTAAGGCAAAGGTTGCCTTAGGTCGGGTTTAAAGAGCATTTAACTTCAGGAGTAGTTGAAAAGTGAGGTTAAAGGTGAACTATAAGTTGAACAATGTACACTTTGAGAACCAACCATCACCATGTTGTAGGCCAACCATCCACAAATATCCTGGGCAAGCAGGCACACGCAAAACACGCGTATACCAGACATATAAAGGAATGATATGCTGAAAAAAAAACTCACCACATACTTTGATCACAAGGCCGGTCACAAGTGATCAACATATCCAAGTTGAAAAATAACTTCTGAAAATGAAATGAATAGCAACGGTCACATTTCGAGAGAAAAACATCAAATAGATAATAGAAAGTATCATGTTGGATAAACAACTTCAAAACTAGAAAGAAGAATATATGCTTTCCATGATACATGTCATTAAATGCTGCAATAGGATAAGAACACTGACCATTAACATTACAGAACGCTGGTCAAGCCCATTATGCACCTGCTCAGAAAGATATGCTGCCTACAATATCTTGGGAGTGTAAGCAGACACATTCAGCTTAAGGGCTATTAGCTTTTAAAACAATAAAACAAACTTACATGAAATGGTAGCAAAATCTCGAGCAATTTGAACCTCTTAAGCAAAAGAAGGGAGGGCTCTGCGGCTCCATATGATAGCATATAATTAATCTCCAAGTTTATTCTAGACTGAAGAAGACTTTCGTTATTTATCATATTTTATAAACGAAAAGCTGATCATAAATCAATACATAAAGAGAACATTAACATAAGGTGGATGACAGAAGTACCTATGAAAGTGTAAGAAAAGTAAAACTACTTATGCAATGCCAATACTGCCAAAAAATATCTTGACCGGAGGAAATAATGCCAACCATTTTTTCCTTACAAAGATACAGAGGAACATTTGGTAAATAGATGTTTCAGAAATTATAGAATTACCTTGCAAAGGTCAGCGACCAACGAAGAGAGACTATATATAGCTGCCTCAGTCTCTTTTGAAAGAGATAAATTAAGACGAGCTGCGAGTCTCAACCCACGCAAAATCCTGGCTGAATGTTTGACAGTTTTCAATAAGAAAAGTACTGATGCATAAATGAATCAAAGATAGTGTAGTTTTGCACAAACATGTGAATATAACAACCTTGGTCCTCCTGAAACGACGATTGAGCTGGTATCACTGTCCTTAGCTGTTTGTGCCACAAAATAACAAGACAATGAATTTCTAATATCACAACATGAAATTTACATTGATAAGGAAATATAGTATACCTTTAGAGATTTCACATCCATTACTCCATTGTTGAAGTCAAAAATTGCATTCCGGAAAGGATCAAAATACAAGCTGTTTTAAATTCAAAAAATATTCTTCTTTTATTCAGGAACCAAGATAAAAAGAAGATTAATATACATAATATGATATTTATCGTTGAATGGTATATAGGAAAGTGTATTATGATTGGTATAACAGTTGATTGCACCTATTAACAGCGTAAACCAGAAAACAAGTCCAGCTGAAGTTTACATTGCTTTTCATTCTATTAGGACAATTGTCCTACTGCTTCTCTTAAAATGAGGTGCAAACATCTGTGATTCAAGTAGATCGATCCCAACATAGTTCTCAGGAAAACATCTTCCAGCGAAACGACTCGAAGTCAACTTTAGTATCTTCACTTGCTAGTTATGAACAGATCCATATCCTAAAATAGCACAACAAGATAGCTCTCATGCAGTCTCTCACTCTCTCTCTCTCTCACTCAAGTTAGGCTCTCGTAAAAGAATCTTTCGCATACATTGTGCATTGCATAAATCAGAGAGAGTTGAGATTTAAAAATGTCCTGAATAAAGTAATCTGCCCCGGTCATTTCATGTTCTAAATTACAGAATCTGGCAGAGAGCTAATGTGGTGAATGAAATCTTTAATTTTTAATTTGAGAATAATAATGCTTTATTGTTGAGATGATGAAGCATTTGGGTTATAAATTTAAGTTTATTCAATTTGGATGTGCTTTCATTTCAATTATTTGGATGCTTTATTATTCACCATAATTTCATATTCTATCAATTAACTCGTGTTTCTTTGATGAAGTTTTTATTTAAAGTTTGTATACTTACTATTGTTGTTGCAGATGCTACTCAAGATGCTTTGCATTAAACCATATTATCTAAGTTATCAAATCACCACTCAAAAATATAACAAGTAACTTGGTGTAATATCCACTAAGTGAATTTCTGTTGAAAGCACGTTGTGTAACTTTCCTCCATTGGAAGTGGAAAATAATATAACAGATTGGAAATGACTGGCACGAGAAATATCAACCATACCTGTTAATTGTGAAGTCTCTGTACATGCTGTCTTTCCAGCAAACTAAGTCCTTTGAATCAAGCCGTGTTTTCATCTGGGGGATGCCAACTTCTTTTCTTCTGGAGTTTTTAGCTGCAGTTTCAAAACTCGAGACCTTGACAAGAGGAGGAAATTGTTTACCAATTAATCTCAATAGAAAACTACTTGATTACTTCAACAAATAAACTCTACCAACATGAGATGCAGGTAGGGGGAGGGTAGCTAAAGAGAAAGGGGGAAAAACAATTAAAATTCAGCACTAACCTCCACTATCATGCCTTTTACTTTGACCCTACAGATAGGAAATCGCTTTCCGATGATTATTGCATAACGAAACTTCCTTTTTACCTACAAAATATACATTCATGAATAATTTTTTTTTTCACTTAGATAGGAGAGTGCCGCCACAGTTTCATGTACTGATGCATGATTACAATTTTAAGACACTACGGAGGACCTGTTCAAGTGTTGCAGTTGTAATCACATCGAAGTCTTTGGGAACTTTATTTAGAAGTAAGTCTCTTACGCATCCACCAACTAAGTAGGTGTTGAAACCTGCATGTTTTAGCTTCAATAACAAGACAAACAAACATTGCCATGAACAGGCCTAAAATCAGGATGAACAAAAAGGAAAATATAATAAACTATGTTTGGTGCTTGTACATATTGACTAGCTACTGCCGAAGGGGTCACAATAAAAGGAAATGAAATCAGCCAATATGATTACATGACTTAATCGTGTTTAAATGTGTTTCAAAACCCTGCACATACCCAATAGAAAAATAATCGCCATTTTTGTACATTCAGAGTATTCATGTTCTTTAGATGTTCAATTCATGGAAAAGTATTGCATGAAGTATAAATAATTTAACTGTGTCGACAACTATACTAGTGTGGCAAAAAGTAATATGAATGAACTTTGGATGGCAATTAGTAAAGTCGTAATACTCTATGATCACCCAAAGATAGTACACCATTTGCACCTTAAAGTCTACATATGAAAGATATGTATGACACGTTCATGGGTGTTTTAGGTGAGAAACTTACTTTGACAATAGTAACATACACACAAGATGAAGATAAAGGACTTCAAATAGAATTGGCATGTCAAGTTCTCAATACCTAGAACAATGTAAAAGGCTACATAAAGAATATTAAACCGAAAATACAAATTTAGCACCTGCACTTCGCAGATTCTTTAGAACTGTCCAAGAATAAGAAGGTATCGTCGACTTTGGTATCCCCAGGGACATAGAGTTCAGCTTTCTCCATTTATAAAACTCAACTTGACCTAGGACATCATCAAACATTTCAACTTCTAAACTAAAGAACACAACCACATCAAATTCTTATAGACTGGCAAATGAAAACATAATCAGCTAAAATGAAATACATAACACCAACAAAGACCAGAAGGTTACATGAAACTTTACCCAAACATTTACATGTGTTTAACTTTTTAGTATTTAATTAACACCGAAGTGAATTCTTCAAACACCATATCTTATATTTCTTACCGACAAACAGTGCCCCAAAATTCGTTAACGAACAGAATACCTGAGCCAGAGTATGTTCCCGCGTCCGTACAGAACTGGGCTAGGCCTCCATCTACAACAAAGCCGCATTGAAACCTCTGCAGAACACGAAGAATGGCACGGGCAAACGGTTTTAAACGGGACAATAAAATATATGGTTTTTGGGCCAACAACTGTACGAGTATATGCCTGATTGAATAGCTGAAAAATGGCATGTTGATACTTACCTCGAGACGGATTAAGGGTTTCAGGCGGGAAATCAAGGTCTTGCTCTTGAGGTGCTGAAACATCGACATGTGAAGGAGTTTGATTTGCAGGTTTTGGAGGTGAAAGCCTTCCCTGTGAGCTGAAGGCCGAATAAAAAGCGCCCTTGAACGAAAGGCCAATTTTCACGAACACCATAAAAAGGAGGGTATATATTTTGCATTGTTTTTAATGTTCAAGCCCTACATTATAATTTTAAGTACAATTTTCGTACATTACACGGGTATTGAATTAAAAAGATTTTATAAAAAGTATTAAATTTTTTATTTTTTAAAAAAATTAAAATAATTTAATTTTATATAAAACATTACTTTGGATTTTAATTAAATTGTCAAATTATATTTTTTAATCATAATAATTAAACACTCATACATTAAATGAAATGTCAACTCATGTTGATTTTTTTACTTATATCATTTAAAAATATCGATATTATTTAGTATTACATACGTACAAAAATATATATCTTAAATAAATACAAATAATATGGTGATATGTATATGAATAAGTGTAGAATGTATTTATTAATATTAAGCAAAATAGATTAATTTTTTTACTTAATTAGATGTCTAATACATCAAGTGTCGTATCAGTCGTGCTTTAAAGTTTTTTAACTTCACATGTAATTTTAGAATTTAGATAAATAATTATTTATTTTTATTAGATTGACAACATACCAATTAGATTTGAAATAAATTTTATTTTTAAAAGAATACATACCAATTTCTATTACTTTATAATATAATTTATAGTTTTATTTGATATAATTTAATTTAGTTTGATAAATAAATTTAAATTTTATTTATAAGGATATATATTACTGTTTTGTATTTTATATATATAATATGGATGTCAAATCGAAAATAATCAAAATCTGATTAATTTGATATATTATATATGTAAAACCGATAAGAAATACAAAAGTTATCAATTTTTAAAGTAATTTATGATAACTAATTGTAGAACTAAAAGAAAGAAAAAATCAATTATGGATTTAGTGTGATAAAAAATATTAATTTATATCCAAGACTAACTCCAAAGCATGATTTTTTGCCAAATAGGATTTCGAAGCATGAGAATTTGCCACATAGGCTCAACACATTCTGAAATTATATATAGAGTGGAAGTGGATATATTTACATCTATGTTCAATTATTACAAAATATATATATATATATATATATATATATTGAGGTATTTAATTTAAATATTAGAAATATGTGAATATTCAATTTTTTATTCATTATTGAGGGTTTTAGTAAATTATACTCAAATATCACATATATAATTAACATTTTAAATAATATTGTTAAAGTGGAAATATCTTTAAAAAATTCAAAATTTAAAAAGGTTTTAAAACTCGTTCAAAGTCAAGAACAAATTCATTTCTACTGGTGTTAGGTCAGGTATCAACGGGCAGGTCGCTCGGGACACTTGTAGGCGGGTCGCTAGCGGGCATTGAGCGGGTCTCTCGCTGGAATGCTCTTGCAGCGAACGGGTCGCTGGGTAAGATGCCTTGCGGGTCTCACGCGGCGAGTATTAAGGGTCTCCAGCAGGATGTTCGCGCGAGCGAGTGCTGCTGAAGCAAGCGAGTTTCCAACAGAACCCTTGCATAGGCACGCGGGTCGCGGGCGGAAACTAGCGGGTCTCCAATAGGACTCTCGCATGGAGGAAGGCCTAGCGAGTGCTGCGGGGCGAGATGAATGATGTGTTGGGGCACGGGTCGGCTGGGCACGGGTCGACTCTTGGCAACGACATGTGATCCTCGAAAAACACTCGAACTTTGTCGGGCAACGACGGAAATTCCTCGAACTCTTCTCACTATTCTCGGACTCCATGGGGGAACTTGTGCTCAAATGCTTGGAAATGGACGGAGATTGTTTGTCCCATTTTAATTTCATTTTTTGTTGTCATTTTGCCTTTCTTTTTCTCCCATATTAGGTCTTTTAATTGGTTTTTAATTCGTTTTGTAGTTTATTGCGTGTTTTCATCTATTTGGAGTCCTTTAGGTGTTTTCGGTCGTTTTCCGATTTTTCGTCGTCGTTGGTGTGCAGGTTAGAAGACTCGGGAGGATTTGTTTTCCATGATTAATGGACCGGGTGAACATGGTTAAATAGAGCAATTCGTTGGCAACACACAGTAAAAAGCGGAGTCAAATTCCAAAATATATTTGAAAGACATCATTACAAAAAAATTATTGTATTATAACGAAAAATACTATAGTAATATATTCTAATGGAAAAATTCCAATGGATATTACAATGGTGTTGACCATCGACTTGGTAATATTTGAGCTATTCACAAAACAAACCGAATTACGGACGAATCTGTCATAATGACGTTGATCTTAGGCAATCTCGCGCCGTTAAACAACACAAAGGATATTCCCTTTATAAAAATCATGTGACCTCGGAACCACGTTTCTTTACCGACATGACGAATCGACATAACCGGCGTGACAAACGACTTCGGCTGTTACCGACTTATCGAGTTCCCTCCACCGACATGACGACGAACCTCAGATATAACCGAGCTCATCAATACTAAAGTAGGTGACGAGACGCCTACGCGACGTCCTTACGTTCTGTGCCCAACGTCATGATAATCGTGGGCCCAACTGTCATAACCGCCTAATTAAAGTTACTTTTCACATAATCCCGAATTATGAGGAAGTCTCGAATAATGTGTAACGAAAACGCTACTATATACAGGCTGAAATTCCCTCAACATAGGAAGGGATTCGGTTTTTTACTCGGTACAACTCCACTTCGGTTACAAAGACACCGACCACATACCAATTAATAAAAACTCCAATTTTTTCTGTTATTTTCTGTCTAAAATCATGTAATTCCGTGTTAATTATGTTGTTACAAATCCATACTGACAACAAATGGTATAACTTCCGCTGGAATGATTCCGACGGAAATTCCAACGAAAATATTCCTTTGGGCTGTACTTTTTATTAGAATTTTTGATGGAATTTTAGATGAAAAAAAAAAGAATGAGCATTATTACAACTAAAACGGGATTAATTAATTAGAAAAAAGGATAAAGAATAATATAATCCTCTCATCTTAACGACAAACAAACAAGGCGGATTTTGTCGACATTTTCCACCATCCCCAACAGTATACACACACCCCGTCGCGATTCTCCGACCACGACCATCTTCTCCCCCGCGCGGGATTCCCCACGGCTCCAGCGCCGTCGCCTCCCCGAAGTTATCCTCCTTGCACCCTCCTGCAGCCTGGGATTTTTCAGAGGCGCCATCTTTTTTTCTGGCCGAATTCGGAACTATCTCTTCTCCAAAAGTCGATGCACTCTGCTGGTGAGCTCTGCACTCATATCCAGATACTCAACACAAGATACGCAATTCTTCCCTGATCGTGCTCGCCCAAATTCCATCTAGATCCCGCCAATCATGTCCCATGTAAGATGCACCTCGATTGCTTACGATCTATGAGTTGATTTATTGATCGAATTCGCCATCTTCTCGATTCTGGTTAGGATTATTGGGAAATGGCAGGGCAGATTTCTAATATGGATCAATTCGAGGCCTATTTCCAGAGGGCGGATGTGGATCGAGATGGCCGGATTAGTGGGAATGAGGCCGTTGCTTTCCTCCAAGCTTCAAATTTACCCAGACAAGTTCTGGCTCAGGTGTTCATTTACTTACTTTGTTAGTGTTTATTTACTTACTTCTAACGATTTCTCCTAACTGAGATTGTTTATTCGTTTGGGGATGTTGAATGTGTTGCTCCATAGATAGATGAGCTGTCTTTAAGAAGTTTACTATTTGATGTATTTAGTGCCCATCTCATACTCTGTGTTCATTACTGGGTATTATAGTAGGAAAGATTTGTAAATAGTTTCTCCTGGTTTTAAGTATCTTAGTTCTATGTCTTCTCAAAATCTGCAAAATCCCTTACTATTTATTGGACAGTCAGCATGTAGAAGATGAAGAATGTTTCTTATATTCGCATCTAGGTAATAGGGTAGTTAACTTTCTGGCATAGTTTGGCAGATGCACTAGTGAACCTAAAAACAATGAAAAAGGTTGATGGGGTTATTTTATTTTTATTTTTATAATATATGCTATGTTGTCTTATTTTGATTTTTCGTTGACTTTGTGCTACAAGCATGCATGTAAGCGCTAGAAAGGCTTACATAAATGATGTTCTTATTGTTAGTAAGTGGATGTTCTTGAAGTTGGTTAAAAACAGGTTATCAAATATGTATCTCTGCTTTAGTGTTTGTTATGAACGGAAGTCTTCACTATTTCCGATTTCTCTATCTATAGACCATCAGTCTTAATATCTACAACCGTGTCATCAAAGAATGTTTGACACTGGAATTTTGCTTTAAAATGGATATTATGGATAACTATTGAATGATGCCAGTCAAATACCTGAATTTATATGCTGTTAAAAAGGAGATATAAGGTATTTTGTTACACAAACTGCTAGAGGTTGAACCAATATTGCAGCCAAGAAAGCGAAACTGTTGGAGATTGGCAGATTAATACCCACCAAATGGGCCATATTTTGCTCTTTTTATCTCTAGTGAAATGTGGTGATAAAATAACTTACTCTCAATGACCTAAAGCTGCAAGTAGGGGTTTTGAAATGTTATTCATGAAGGTTACTTATTATGTAGTATGGCAACCTTATTTTCGTTTTTATGTTATAGAGATCAGATGTTGGATCTTTTGTTGCTGCCATTCTGCATAACCCTCCTCTTGTATTTTATAGTCTCCTCCATCTAGGAGTTTACTTTAGTCCTCTTACCTAAATTTTATGTCAGCCGCCTTCATGCAGGTGTGTACTACCCGGATCATACTCCATCTTGTATGTAACCTGTCTGAGTGTGGATATTCTAAAGTAGTTTCAATCTGAGTTACATGTTGGTATAATTAAATTTACTGCCTTGCTTATAATTCTGAAAAGGTATGCTTTGGTGGCTTTCATACAGATATGGATGTATGCTGATCAAAATAAAGTTGGTTACCTTGGTCGTTCAGAATTTTTTAACTGTCTCAAACTTGTTACCGTGGCACAAAGCAAGCAAGAATTGACTCCAGATATCGTGAATGCTGCCTTATATGGTCCAGCTTCGGCAAAAATCCCTCCTCCGCGGATAGGACCACAGGCAACTCCGAATGCTGGTCCATCTCCTGGTCAGTTGCCTGGCAATCCCCGCACTACTCAAGGAATTAGTGTAAGTGCTCCTCATGGTTTTTCGACTCAGCAAAGTCAAATCGCCAGGCCGCCTCGGCCTCCACCTCCAAATTTTGGATTTCAATCCCAGCCAGGCTTTCAAGCTCAAGGAATACCTGGTGCAGGTTCTACGGTTGCATCTCGTCCCCCTAATTCATTTGACTCACTTGGTGGAACTACTGATGGTTCCCAAGCCAGACTTTCTTCCCAAGTTTCTAACAGAAACTTAATTCCTTCTGCAACTCAAGGTGACATCGGCCTTCTGGCCCCATCTCTTACGCAACCTAAGGCACCTGAAACTACTGGGTTGGTACAATCTGCTTCATCCAAGCCGAATGATGTTTCCCAGGTTGGGAAGGATGACACAAGATCACCTTCGGCTACAGGAAATGGCTTTGCCGCGAACTCAGAGTTTGGAGATGTGTTCTCAGCAACCCCATCCAAACCGCATAGTACTCCCGGTGCAGTCACATCTCCTGCGGCCAACATATCTGCCTTCTCTACAGGGAATTCGACTTCCTCAGGTGAACAGCCTACACTTAAGCCAAGTGTTGTTTCTCAACCTTCAGCTATTCAATCTGGGCAGTTCCAGTCTATGGACAAAGCTAGTCAACACGTTCCAGCACAAAAATCTGCCGCATCTGGGAAATCTCAGCCTCCATGGCCGAAAATGACCCAGTCTGATATTCAGAAGTATCGAAAGGTCTTTGTGCAAGTTGACACCGACCGAGATGGGAAAATCACTGGTGAACAGGCACGCAACCTGTTCTTTAGTTGGAGGCTACCACGAGGTATGATGTACTTGGTGTAACATCTGGACATCTTCAGTTGAGGTTTATTTTCTTAACTGCTATCATTTTTTCCTTTTTGAAAAAGTCATGGTCTGTAGGGACTGGATATTGTCCATATCTCCTGCTTAATGTGTATGGATCCTGGCTGTTTCTCATAGCATCTGTGCGTCTTATATTTTCTGGAGGTTTAAAATGATTATGAAGGGTTGTAATTTATTTTCAGTCAAGTTTGCAATAATTTATGGCAGAATGAAAAATGAGAGTTGAAGAACTAACCTTCTATTTGCTATTGTTTTTCTCTATTTTGGTAGAGAATGAAATGATAGTTAGACGAATTTGCCAGGATCTTATATTGCTGTTTTTGTTTTATGATCATTTCGTCTTTTTGTGAATATATTATATTTGTTCATAGAAGCAATGGAGCTTCTCTGGCTTTAACTTTGCTAGTACATTAGTTTTGCAAATCTTTTTTGTGTTATAGCACCTTAATATGTCAACTACTAGTTATAATGATATATTGTGGTGCCTTAAAGGTGAATGATACAGATATTAGATATGTATGGGTCTAGGTACATTTGAGGCTCTCCTATGGTTTCATATCTTCATACTACAAAAAGTTCCCTTGCTATAAGGTAAACACCTGTTTTCTGATCTGGTTGGTTATATTTGTTTTACTAGAGGTCCTGAAGCAGGTGTGGGACTTATCAGATCAAGACAACGACAGTATGCTTTCCTTGAATGAATTTTGCATTGCTCTCTATTTGATGGAGAGATATAGGGAAGGGCGCCCTCTTCCTGCAACACTTCCCAGCCATGTTATATTTGATCAGGCATTGTTGCCTGGTATTGGTCAACCTGCTGCTGCGTATGGCAATGCATCTTGGAGACCTCCCTCTGGTTCGATTGGAGTATTTCAATTTATATATTACTGGAATCAGAGTTGCATGTCCTCATTATCTGTCCATCCTGTATTAGGTTTCCAACAGCCCCCAGGAGCTAAAAATGCACGGCCTATCACTTCTGTTGGTCTCGGAAAGCCACCTCGCCCTGTTCCTCAGCCTGAAGAGTCCATACAACAGAAGGCTAAAGTTCCAGTCTTGGAGAAGCATCTTCTAGATCAGCTTAGCACAGAGGAGCAAGATTCACTGAACAAAAAGTTTGAGGAAGCTAAGACTGCAGAGAAAAAGGTGATCTTATTTATTAAGATGCCTGTTGCTTCCTCCTCTTCTCTTCTTTTCTATTTGGTTATTTTATCTTGTTGTGGCTACTGAGATTTTATTTGGTCATGAATTTGTCTTGCAATTGGTAGTAGTTTAGTAGTCTAGAAATAGCTGTATTATTTAGATATGGGTTTGTACTGTTTGAAACTTGTAAAACATAGCTTCAAGAGGGAGCCTAGGCGACAGGGGTGATAGTTTATCACCTTGTTGACTGTTTGCTTCCTAAGTGATCAAAATGTGGGCGTATTGCATGGGCCCCCTGCCACTGCCTTTTGGGTGGTGGGAGCTGATTCTGATTTTTTGATGAGCCTTTCTTCTTTTCCTTTTCTATTTTTTTGTTTGTTTCTGTTTTGAGTAGGCTTCCAAAATAACACTGACTTTAAACTCTAAGAAATGACCCCGAACACCAAAATTGTTCCTGTGCTGTTGTGGTCCCTACTTACTGCACTATAGTCCTTCCAGACAATCCCGTATTCTTGAAGTATAATTTGAGACATAACTGGTCAGAGCTGAGCTCTTTCCTCCAAGGAAAGATTTATAATGACAAAAAGGGCGAAGATGGCTTAACTAGATATGATTGACATGCTTATTTTTGGACGTAGGTGTCCTTCTAATAAGCTGACTATTACTCTATTAAACTTGGTTGAGATCAGAGTGGAATAGTGCATGGCATTGTGAGCAGTCATTTCAGAAGGCAATTTCGCTGAGAGAGAAACATTGTAACAACTAAAGAATTTCCCCATCTTATTTGCTAATTGTCTGTATGAATTTTGTTATTGGTTTACTTCTTTGAGAATGATGGTTATAATGGTACTCAGATGGTAGACATACTACTATACTAGCTTTTAAACATAAATGTTTTTGGCTATGTTTGTCTCAGTAAATAGAATTTTATATCATAGAACCTGAGTGGTTTGTTGTATGAACTTTATGGCCTAATGTAAACTGTAAAGTGTGATCTTACTGTTAGCTTTCTAGACAGCTTTTTGACTTGCTTTCTCCTCTTATTGCATTTCTCGTCTCTGTACTTCATTGTTGCTGTTAGGGTGATATAATTGTTACAATTCTGTCTCTCCCCTGTTTCCCCAAGAACTAGATGTCAGTTTGCCAAGCATTTATGCTCTGTCTGAGTAATAGTGAGTTTAACTGTAGGGAAAACTAATAGGATTATGTTCTTTATCCTTTTCACTGGACCATTTCTCTATCTTTACTCATCTTTGTCTACACAGGTGGAAGAACTGGAAAAGGACATTTCGGAGGCCAAACAAAAAGTTCAATTCTTCCATGCCAAGATGCAAGAACTTGTGAGTTAACGTTTCACGGCGAACTCTAAATGTCGATGTTGGTGTATAGCACAAACTTAATGTGGTCTTATATGCATTCTCTAGAGTATAAACATGGATGTAAATACAATTGAAATAATATGTAAGTTTTGCTAAATCTCATTGGTCCTTTTTTTTAGCTTAAGAAATGACCTTGTTCACTTTTATTTTTTCCTCAGTGGGAAAAACATACATTGATCTTCATATTCTCTCTGTTAATT